ATGGTCGGCGAGAGTCCTAACCACTGTGCCACCGACGCACAAAGTGAAGGGAGCACCCGGGTTTGAATCGGGGACCTCTCGATCTGCAGTCGAATGCTCTACCACTGAGCTATACCCACGATTTGAAGTTGTTTTTTCTACTTAATTGCGTGCATTTCGTAATAACAGGCAAACTAGAAAACGCGTCAATTCATAATATATATGAACAGTAACTGAGTGTAAAATGGAGGGTCGATTGAAAGAAATGCCTTCTCGATATTATTCACAATTCATGTGAAGTAACACATACCTACATCCCTGCATGTGCGTCCGCGTAAAGCATCGCATTTAGCCAGCGTTTCGTCTATATGACTAAATGGGACAATTCCATTTCCCGAATGCTCAGTCCATGAATCCTACTTGTACCTGCAGAAATTTTACTACACAAAGCACACCCTGTCGGGACGTGCTGCTGTGTTGCGCTAGAATTCCTCAGTTTACAGTTAGATCACTTTTTAATAGTATCAATATTACCGCTTGTAGTTGAAAAGGTGCGTCGGTGGCGCAATGGTTAGGACTCTCGCCGACCACGCACATGGTCCGGGGTTCGATCCCCTGCCGACGCACACCCGATATCTCTGGTCGGCCTGCAAAATTTGGGCTACCGATATCCATGCTGAAAATTCCATACCTGTACCTAAAAATACAGTGTGGCATCAAGCTGTAATCAAAATAAAATAAATAAAAGGTAATTCGATTGTGTTGCTGGTGATTTTGTGTTGTATCTTTTGTAAGTTCAGTGAAGAGACCCTGCAGGGATATAATGCAGCTTTGCCAACGGTTGAACAGAATCATTTCACTTGTGCGGGACGCATACAGTAATGGATACACCACTAACTTACTGCGCTAGGCCTTACATAGAGAATTTTCTTGTTTGGAAATGAAATGTGTACATACATACATAAATACACCTTAACAACTAAATTTCATACACATTCTATTTCACTACTCCATATGATAATAGCCTGATAACCCGCAAATGCAGTAAAAAGACCATGAGTAGTACTTCGCACTGAGAAGTACAGGTACTTAATGAAAGCATTTGCCTAATGTATACGCAGCTACCAATGCAATGAAAAGATAATGATGAAGAGATATCACAAGCATTGTATTTGCTATGAATGGAATGTTATTTCAGGCAAAATTCACAACAACATGTACAAGTCTTGCATGTCAATGCATCAGTAATACAAGCATACTGATTGAAATGCAGCACAGCGGTAAAAATCTCAAGCCTTCATGCAAAATTGTTGGAGGTAGATGAAACAAACGATTTCATAAAGAAAATATGTGAGAAGTTATCACATGGAATGTGAGTAAAATCCTAAAATAAAACAAACAATAAGGAATAATTAGGAGAAAATTGCATAAGATAAGTACTACTGCATGGAAAACAAAATGTCACTCATCTCATTCACTTCGATTCCTACTATTTATTTCTGTGCTACTGACTTCTGGTTCACCGTTTCCTCCTCGGTGCACTTTTCCTGGACAATTCAAAGAGTTGGGAGAATGCATACAGTACTTAGTAAAAGGCATTAATAATTGTTTAAAGCAGTTGCTGCTGCAACGAGTTTTGACACTATGCAGCTGCAGTGAGAAGTGCTGACTGAGTGAGCTTTAACATAAAACTCAGCACGGAAGTGCGGCAGCTCAGGCTGCTACATTCCACACTTGGAAAACATGATATTTATTTGGTAGAAAGCAAAAGATATTTCATCAAATGTGTTTCGACTTAGCATTTAGGCAATGGCATGAAATAAACTAACTCATGAGATATGACGAGACAAAGTGTCAAACTTATCCCGAGAAAAAGAAGAGACCATTGTCAGATGGCTTTTTTTCAGTTAAACAAGAATCAGATGAAAAAATACTATTATGATTTGCTTGCATTTCTGCGATTATTGTCCACTGTTTAATGTTTCGTAACAATCAGACTATATGCCATTCTAAATGACTTACTTCCAACATAGAAGTCTGCACGCAAGTGCACCTATTTAAGTTACCACATTCCATATAGCGCACAAAGGCAGAGAAAAAAGAAATTAGAAGAAGCTCTAACGAGCACAAATGTGATAGAGAACGAATACTGACAAAGGAAAAATATAAGGATTGCTCAGATATGTGAGATTACACAGAATGAATGCATCTGTCATTAAAAACGATTTGGAGTCACGTCTCTACATGGCACTATATGCTTAATCCCAATACTACTCACCATATTATACTACTAAACACAGGAGACAGAGAACAGATACCTACAATCAAACGCCAGTAGTCTTTACATATCTCCCAGCTTCAGTGGTCATTTCTCACAACCTAGGTGGACAATATCCAATACCGTTTTTTAAGAGCCAGTGTGAACCAATTTCATTTTTTTGTGCTCGATTCTTGGTTGTGAGGCAAAGGTTCCTGGTCTTCGGCAAACTTCTGCGTAGTTCGCTCAGACAGCAAATGAAAACTGAGATTGATATATATGTATATATATATACTATAATGATAGTGTAAGGGATGTAGTATCTAGAGTAGTCAGGAGAGTAAGACAAGAGAGAATGTGACGTAAAACGATGAGCTTGGGTGTCTGATCATTGATAGCGTATGAGATTTTAAGGGGATAGGCCGTTTAGATGCAGTCCACGTGTTGCTGCATGGTTGTCCAGCCTTAGCTGAAAGCGTTCCACGGGCGGTGCGGTGGCTACATCTGCCGATAAAAAGGTAGTTGCACTTAGAAAGAGGGCAATTACACAACATAGAGCTCGGATGAATGGTTCATGACGTGTTTAAGATACTTCAGTCAACAACTGGTGTCCTCACCTGAGTTTCCATTAACAAATCGATAATTCACTGACCAATGAGTGATGCAGGAATAGTGCGTGACAAAGATAAACAGCTAAATAATAAATAGGAAACATACATGCTGTATTCTTCGTAAACTTTATAATGCCTTTAGAACTTGAGCGTCGGTGGCACAGTGGTTAGGACTCTCGCCGACCATGCACATGGTCCGGGGTTCGATCCCCTGCCGACGCACACCCGATATCTATGGTCGGCCTGAATTTGGGCTACCGATATCCGTGCTGAAAGTTCCATACTTGTACTGAAAATACGGTGTGGAATCAAGCTGTAAATCAAAATAAAAAAACTTCACTGAATGATGATTAACATACAGTGTATTTCGCTGGAATTTCTTGTTATAGCTGCACACCAGCATGCTAACAGAATACATGTTCGGATACAGATGCTGTCTTCTTTTTTATATATTACAAAGGACAGTTGCTTGTCGAGTAATTTTAAACCATGAGACGGTTACACGAAGGTTACGTTCAAAAGGTCAGACGCAATGCAGTATTCGGTAGCCTACTGATTTCACAACCGACCAGGATGTCAAAAGTGGCTGAAAAACTTTCCATTGTGTCATCATATCCCAGTGTTTCGATTTTATCTCCAACTTTTGGTCGGAGTATTTGGTACCTAGTAGCTTCTGGCTAAGTGTTAGGCGACAGAAAGCAACAGTTCTGCCCTCACTTTATGGTCCATTCCAACTAAATTGTGATGTCAAACTTTAGATGCTTCGCATTGTACTGTTGGTTTAACCGTACTGGTAAGTCTTCTGGAGCATGACAGTTAGTTTCCTTTAAACCGATGAACCTTTTAACCGTCTCCGTCCTTGATCATATATTGTGACTACTGGCTTTATCAGCCATCACTTCTGCTTAGTCTTAGTACCTTGCAGTTAGTTGAGATGCCTCTCTGTCAATAGTCAAGTTAAAATCCTCACTGTGTCTTGTCCTTTAGCTGAGATCATTCGTTATAGTTGATGATGAGTGAATCACATATTAAATTTGGTGTTGGTGGATTACCACAATCTGTTTATCTCATTTCCATAACTGATGTCGACTTGTGAGATATGAGCACTACCTGATATCGTATTTCGCTCCACATTAGAGGTTGAGTGCATTGTATGTCCATCGAAGCTACTTGATGACTACTCTCCCCAAGCTTTAAATAACAGCTAAAGCTGCATTTCACAAAAACATAAATTTAAAAGCCTAAAGATTCAGATATGATGATTGAGGATAGAGGGCTTGAAGCCTTTGTTAGTCCTTTTCTAGTAAATTTCTGTGCTTTCCAAACCCTTCATGAATGAATCAGTTGAAGGCGTTGACACCACTTCTTATGGGAGTTGGTTCCAGGAGTTGATTATTCGGTGTGAGAGCCAATATTCTACGGTAATATGATTTCTGAATGGCTTCTAAGCTTTCCTGCAATTTCTTCTGGGGTGCTTCGACCTGTTGGAAAGAAAAATAGAGGAGAGACCAGGTCCGTAGTCGTTATTTAAAATTCTAAACACCACCTCTCTGCTTATGGTATGGTATTATAAATTAGTCATGCCAGGAATCATATGTGTTGCCTCCCTATAAATCTTTTCTAGAATAAGTGAGTTTCCTTTAAGACAAGGACTGGCTGCCTGGATTTAGTTTTCCAGCCTTGACCCCTCCATATATATACATATAATTTGACTGCAGTTATTAAAGTTCTAGTTTTTTGGTAGTCTCTTGTAGTGAGGTACACAGGGGAGAATCTTATTACGATTGTTGTCATCTTGTAAAAAATTATTCGAAAGCTTGTTTCTTGGCGCTGAAATCTGGTTACATGACCTTTTTATCGGTGGTACGTTTTTGAAGTTTGTGTTGGCTACGGGCGTTTCTTCATGCTTGATTATCCTTGCTATTCTTATGGCCCCTCTCTCTCAGAGTTGCAACAGTTAAAACGTGAAGAAATAGAGAGGCGCAAGAAACTGAGGATTTTACAAGTAATTTATAGAGATTACAGTTTATATCTATAGGTTCGAACACAAGCCAGAGAAAATGCTGCAAAAGTTAGAAAAATGTACGATGCGAAGAAGCAACAACTGTCCGAAATTGTTGCAAAAGAACTTCAGGTATTGAATTATTATTTTAATGCCGCAGGTTAAGCATATGAGGGATGATTTGAGATTGTTGGAGGAAAAGAAGACTGAATATTACAACGTTTTAAGGCAATCCGGTTCGGGTCACAGAGCTGCAGAAAAATGGGTAAATTTTAAAATCCATGTTTCTGGACATCATAAGAACAATTTGGTCTTTTGATCAGTAATAATACTGGTTTTCAGAAGGCTTATTCTTTATATGATCCCCATTGATTTAGCATTTTTCTTTGTCCACTATAGATTCTACACACTGTCAGAAATTATTTGTCTAATTATTGCAATGCATTGTTGCCCCACTTGTTTTGCAAAACTTTCCACTCGTTGCCTGCTTGTAATTCTTTTGACATTGTCCACGTAATTAATTTTGATGAATGAAAATCACGGAACTGAGGAATATGTTGTAACATCAGGCTAAAACATACTGATGCGTATGCTGAAACTACTTCCAAGTCTTTTCGGTATTGCTCTAAGGGTCTTACTTGTATGGTTGTTTTTTCGTTGATATTTCGATTGTCTGTTAATTGAAGTTTTGAATAAGTCCCTAAACAGAAACATTTTTTTAGATTATGCGAAGTCCTCTACTGGCCTCAATTCTCACCCATTCGTGAAACAGTTAGTTTTAGAGTTTAATTTCAATTCCTACCTGGGCGATTGCCGATGGCATACAGTGCTTTTAGTCATACTGTTCACTAATAGAATCCAAGAGAGTTGGCTATCGTTGCTGCTTTGTAAAACACACTGTTTTTCACCTTAGGTGAACCTTTTAAATATGCTACATATCCTCCGCTCTGTCCGTAATCCTGGCTCCATCCATGATGTTATTCTCCGAGTGATAAAAAGTAGACTTGTTATTAGATGGTTGTAGGCAATCGGAAGTAAGCCTTGGACCTAGGTTTCGTGGTAGTTGGAACTCACCAGTCAGCTAGCAAGGCCTATCTGCAACCTTGAAGGAACAACTCATGTCCCTCTGAGATTCGAACCAACGTTACCAAATGAGTACTGCAGTGAGAGACGTTACCACTGAGCTATTGGGGCTGGTGATTAACCTCCTGTAGGACTACTGTATTGGATACTTTGATTGGACACTAGTTAGTCACTAGTGCCACATTACAAAGTTGTCTGATAGAATTCAGTCTGCACCAAACAAAGGACTAGACACATCACACTAGTTACTAATTAGTGTCCTATCAGAAAATAAACGTGTTTACTCTTTTACGGGACTAATGATCTATTGTATTACACGTTTTATTTCTTCTCTCAGGTTTACTCCCCTTTTCTCTCCTCTTACATGATAATGTTAAAACTCTGCCTGTTGGGAAAATTCATTATCTAGTCTTTCACAGTGTTTCAGTGTGTTTATTGCTCCGAGTAATTGGTGTTACAATGCTAACTGGTATTTCTTTTAAAGTAGGAAGTAATGTTACTTACTATTGTACTATCGTTCAACCTATTTGGGTATACGCATGGAAAAAGCACTAGCAATTTTTTGACTCTTCTCACGACAACGTTATGGTTGAGCTACTTTATCTTTAGTTACTCTTAATGAAAAAGGGAAACTGCTAAGTTACTCTCAACTGAAAAGAAGGAATAATATTTACTGAAAAGTAATTTAACTAGATTTCAAGCATCCGCAACACCTTTACCAAAATGGTTTAGGAAAAAGCTAGTTGCGTCTTTTAATGGACGAACACCTAGAATGTGTTGTGAAACTAGCAAGTATAGTAAATTTCTCTACATTAAGGCGTTATCGCATTCACCTCCGAAAACATCAATTTGTCGAAGAAAACTGTAAATAATAAACCTGACGTCCAATATTAGATAAAGTAGTTAAGTCAACTGATGAAGTTATTGATGGGTACTGATAAAAGCGGCTTGTGTGTGAAAAACAAGCAGGGTCACAATATAATATGACTGACTTTAAGTGTGTGGGTGCTTATTACTTCAAGCCTGTCCTCACCGTAGAAGCTGACTTTTTTCTTAAAATACCTGAAACAAATGGGACATTAGTTTTGCGTCAGCGCAGAACTTAGGAGACAACTGCTCCAGATCGATCACAGATAGCCTATTTGAATTGGTTTTTGGAGTCGTGTCCGAGTTATGATCTTACCGCCGGCTAGGAAATGCCGCGAGGCATGTCAGGTTGTATCATTTTATGGGTTGGCCTTTTGTAACCTTCCCCATGGTGGAGAGGCAGCATAGCTGGCTTGCTGGTCATCAGAGGGAAACACTTATGCTGTTACATCCTTATATGTCAACAGTACGAATTCGCCCTCAGAGTCTTCAACATAGTGTCAACAACTTGCATTTTGATGGTAACTGCTTTTAGTCTAACCGCCGTCCAAACGATCTTCCTGGTATGGTAAGGCTTGCAGGAACATTATTTTTAACCAGCACAGCCCATTAGATGATTTTAATATGCAAACCAGACCATCATTTAAAAGTAGCAGCTGTGCTACTTCTAGTTAAACAAAAATCAAGCCAAAAATAGGATACAAGTGATTCTGCAAGTATTCGGTCTCTATTATTTGGAGAAATTTAAGCTCTCTGACTGATGTCCATGGGAAACTGTAAATGATAGACATCCAAAACAAATTACATGGTGTGTCTTTATCTAACCCACTAAATCACGTTTAAACTTCTTTCATCTTCCTCGGTATTTGCCTTGTTACTTTTAAAAACTTGTGATATCATATTCAATGCCTTATCCTACTTCTTGTTAACATACACATCGTTGTGATGGTTTGTTGGCCGGCACCATGGATCGAGTAACCCAGTGTTCTAAATCCTACTTGATGTACATCTGTTTGTATAAACAGTAAAGAATTTGAGTTGGAAAACTTAGCAGGTTGCCTTAAAAGGAATTTGGTCTCATGTTCATCTGATGTTTGTTTTAAATTTCATTAGATAGAAATTATTTTAGTCCTAATGTTCAAAGCTATTTCAGTCTAACAGCATTTTATGACTTTATCTAAAAGCACTTTAAGCAATTGAAGATTTCGAATATTGATATTTAAATGTTAGTTTATTTACTAATAAGATTTGACCATGTGTTTGAATTCTTACCTTAGTTGAGATACTTTTTGTTCGCTGACGTATGTCAGTTATTCTTCCTAACCTTCACTGTCATTTGAACTCATCTTCTAACTGGCGAGTTCGTTAACTCAAGTCCTGCTTCATACAGCCATATATATATATATATATATATATATATGGTGAGAGCTGTCTACTAGCCAAATTGGTAGACAGTAATTTACGTCAATATTTACGTTCCCAAAATTTGTCGTGAGAAAATGTGAACAAAGATTGACTTTGCGTAGGCGGATGCAGTTAACATATAGAGGATTTGACATTCAAGAAACAGTCACAAATAGATGAAGGATTAACTTTACGTGAGAAACAACCAATCGGAAGACTGTGTTTGTTTGCTTAAATATCCATAGTAATGCACATGAAAATATATAAATATGCGTTGATTTCCTTAATAAATGATCTGTTGCCTGGCTCTTGCCTTCGGTTGTTACATATATATATATATATATGTATATATATGTATAAGGATTCCTTCATGAATTGACATCGGTCAGAAAACCATTGGAAAGCCAGCTGGGAGTACTGGACATCTGTTTCGTCTTAGTTTGGGACTCTTCATCAGTACGCACCCACCACAGGGGGTTCGAACCCAGGATCTTCTAGCTACAAGACGAGCTCGTAGACCATTAAGCCACTGTGATCCGATCCAGTGGACAGTCCATGAATTCCAACTACTGTCAATTCATGATATGGCGCGACCACTTGTGAGTGTCATTTGTGACGAGTATTTGTTCTCACATCCTACGAAGTGCTATAGATGTTCAGGAAGGTGACATTATTTGCCTCACATGGTAAATGTGTCTCATTTTTGAGTGCGTGGAGTTTTCCAAATGATAAAGAGTAGTACTGTGCTCTTTTCCCTTGTTTTTATTTTGTAATGGCCAGTAAATGTTCATAAATGAGCGTAGGAAAATGCATCTTCTATTTATGCTGAAATAATGTTCAATGACGGGTTATATGTATATATGGCTTCTTTAGAAGAATTTAAATCTTAAATGAACCTTCAAGTGCTGGCTTGTAGGAATTTGAATAATTTTAAGCTCAATCACAGACTTATACCCGTTAGAGAGCCATTGGAAACCTGGAAGTACTGAACAGTGAGCTGAGAACGGTCAACCACCTAGCATCATCGTAAACTGAAGTCCCTGTTTTCGACCCTCTGTGAAGTCATGGGGGCATACAGTTGAAGAGTCATAGCAAGTACTCCTTGGTTTCCAATGGTTTTCTAACTGTCATCAATCCTTGGTGTAAACTTAAAACCAGTTAAATCACTGAAAATGAACACTTGAGAATTAATCTGATGCTCAATACTGACGGATTACAAGACGATGTTGCCTGGAGGGAGTTCTAGTGAGAAGTCGTGAGCAGTAGTAGGGGGTCAACCAGGTCGGGGGTGTTGCTTTGGTGAGAGCTGTCTGGAAGAAAAAATTGTAGACAATAATTTAAGTCAATGTTTACCTCCCGAATCGGGGTCATGAGAAAAACAATAACAAAGCTTAACCTTGAGGAAATCAACAACCAATCACAGCAGACTTAGCGTGGGCGGATACGATTAGCAGATATATCACCGGACTGTCTAAGAAACGGCCACAAAGAGATGACAGCAAGAAAATAACCAATCAGAAGAGGCTGCTTCTACGCTAACAATAACGCTAATAATGATGAACATAAAAATCTATAAATATCTGTTAATTTTCTCAATAAACGATTTGTTGCATAGCCCTTGTCTTCTGACGTTACATGGGGGCGGCACCAAAAATCGTAAATTGACAGAAGTTAGAATCCATGGACTATTGGATTCCATTCCAGTGACTAAGTGGTCAATGAGATCTTTTAATGTGAACGTCCTACATTGGATCCTTGGCGGTGGGTTCATGGTTGCGTACTGATGAAGAGTCTCGAACTAGAATGAAACAACTGTCCAGTGCTGCTTGGTTTCTGATCCATGATCAAACTTAAGTGAATCATTCCGCATTAGTTTGTTTATTAGATATGTCACACACTCATTGAAATAGTATTATTTACTGGATGACGTTTCGAACAAAATTTATTGTGGTTCATAATCATATCATCAATTATAATCACACGACTTCGAAACTTGAGTTTTATAGTTCTCTTTATTATCTCCTGTTTGTCGTCGTTGGGGTAGTAGAATTTTACAGAAATCTGGGATAGCTGTTGAATCATTCCTATTACACGTATTTGCAGTTGATTCGATAAACAAAGCTTCTGTTACCAATCTCTCTCTGCACTTCCATGTGAAGTAGTAACCTCGGAAACCTTATGCTGGAGAACTCATAACAAGGCAGGCAGTAATAAAAGTGGCTGGCATTCAAACTACCCACAAACTCAATTAGAAACAAGCTTTGTCGGTTAAAGGATCCTGCCAGTGGAGCCTTTAAAACAAGACAATCTAGTTTATCTAATGCCCTGCCTGAAATGATTGTCAGGTCAAATACATGGGTCAAAGTAGTAGAACAGGGGAAGTTAGACTAGCCGAGCCTAAAAACCTAGTAGCAAAACCTAGATTAGTTGACCCGAGTAAGATAAGAAATCTGGAGAATAGTTCAACCGTAGATAGCACTACGTGCAATTACACACACACACACACACACACAACCATACAATAGGATGGATGTGGTAAGATGACAGTTTTAAAATCTAACATAACAACAAGGTGGAGGGAGAGATCGATAACAGAAGCTTTGTTTATCGAATCAACTGAGAGAGAATACGTGTAGTAGGAATGATTCAACACCTGTCCAGCTGGATATCTGGAAAATTCTACTACCTCTACGACAAATAGGAGAAGACAAATAAAACTATAAAACTCAAGTTTCAAAGTCGTGTGATTACAATTGATATGATTATCAACAATAAATTTTGTTCGAAACTGTCATCCAGTAAATAATACTGTTTCACTGTTTGATATATCTAATAAACAAACTGATATGGAATTACTTACTACCACAGTGCCCAAATTTTACACATATATTAAGTGAGTCATCACAGGAATTAAATTCCACCTGCTAGTTAAAAAAAACACGCCATATTTTATCCACATATTACGAAGAGATCTGTGCTTACATATATTGAGACAAACTATCATGAAAGTATTCCCCCTGTTTACTATTTCAGCAAGATCCTACACCAGAAATAGAACACAACTTACGTGTGGCACAAACACAAGCCGAAGATCGATTCAATCTGGCTATAGACAAACTTCATGAAGAAAAGCGAATTGAAGAGCTGACAAAGCATGAGACTGAAGAAAGAATGAAAGAAGTCAGAAATGTTGAGAATATGCGTGCTGCTTTGATCGCCTCTCTGCCTCCGCCTAAGAATACCTTACTTGAGAAGGATCTAGCATCTACAGTTGGTATGTTAAGTAATTTTTTTCCCCAAATATTAATCTTGAGGTTTTTATTTTCCTTTGGCTGAGTAATGTTCTGTTCATCTTCGGTTTTTACTTTTACAATCTATGACGTTCGATTAGATTATACAGTATGCGGTTAAGATGTATCATGTCATGACGAGTAATTAAAGCGTCTCAGGTTCGGGCCATGCTCCACCTACTGAGGATTGGGCAGCTTAGTGATATCACTAGCCCTCACACAATAGGTGTGGTTCATTGCTAACTACATGGAGTTGCAAATGATTGTTCGGTAAAATTTTGCTTTAAATAAATCGCTTAGCAAGTAGGCTAAATTTAAATTGTGCATTGACAAGCGTCGTTTCAACAACAGGCGAACTGGACAGATGAGGATATCAAAGCTAGGACCATCAGGAAAGCAAGGCAAGCCTTCATTAGTCTCCAGTCGGTGTGGAGATCAACAGCCATTCAGCATGAAAAACAAGGTGCGGCTAGTGCTACGTGCTGCTTCGAAAGCAGTAGTAGGATTATTAGATATTTTAGAGTTGTTTATGTTCACAAAAGCCAAGTAGACTGTAAGAAGTTATCTCTGGCCTTTTACACTTTCTTTCCGTCTCGTTAGTAGAGTAACATAAGTAATACTGTAACGACAGAAAACAAGGACAAGGCAACAGATCCTTTATTGAGAAAATCAATAGGTATTTATAAATTTTTATGTGCATTATTATTGGCATTATTGTTAGCGGAGAAGCAACCTTTTCTGATTGGTTGTTTTCTTGATGAAGGTTATTTTGTCATCTCTTTGTTGCCGTTTTTAAGACAGTCCGGTGATATGTCTGCTAGTCGTATCCGCCCACGCTAAGTCTGTTGTGATTGGTTGTTGATTTCCTCAAAATTAAGCTCTGTTCTTGTTATTGTGTTTTTCTCATAATCCCTATTGGAGACGTAAACATTGACGTCATTTATTGATTTATTTTAATTGCCCTCCGCCTTCTTTTCTTGCATATTTTTTTGTTATCAGAAAAGGAACCTCTTGTCCTTGTATACGATGCAGAAGCTAAAAATACACTACACTCACAGAATCTACCATCAAAAGTGATTATAAATAACGACAGAAAAGATGAAAATGAAACAGTTGACGATAAGGAAAGATACAATGCAACTATTTCTGCACACAAAGAAGAAGAACGTATACAAGCAGTTGAACGTGTTAATGCCATCCACGCCAATGAAGATTTAATCAAAGCTGATATGCGTGGACGTCAAGCTATGAGAAAGTAAGGAGTTATTGGTATCACTATTTAGTCGTTAAATTAATACATTATTATTATTATTGTTCCCTTGGGTTTCTAGTGGAACATAAGGCTTCAACTGCACGTCTCCACTTGCTTCTGTCTTCTGCTGTACTTCTCACCTGCATCCATGTTAATCCATACTGTTTCAATTCCTCTTCGCACGATCTCCTCCATGTCACCCTTCGACTTCCCACTACTCGCCACTTCCCTTTTAGGCTCCACTCGAGCACTGGCCTGACGCGCGATATCACCCAGCGGCCTCCTCAGCTCAGCGAGTGTCCAATCCATCTCCACTTTCTCCTGCATATTTGTTGGGCGATTGGTTCTTGTTTTGTTTGTTTGTTCCCATAGTTTCTTGTTGGTGATTCGTTCCGACCATCTGATCTTCAGTATAGACCCAGCGAAGACAGTTGTTGATAAAGGTCTGCAACAGGCTGTTGGAAATATTCTTTGTGACACACTGGCCAAGTTTCTGATCCATCCGTATAGAAGAACTGACTGACTTGACGTCGTTTGTATTGAAAATCCGAATCACTTTGTTGTTGACGCAGGCTGAGTTGAGTGACGAAGATTTCCAGATTGGTTTCAGGTTGATGAATGTGTTTCTCGCCTTCCCGATTCTCGATATGACATCTTCGTGCGTTCCTCCTGTAGTTGGTACAATGCTCCCTAGATAATTGAACGAAGTAACCTCTTTCAAATCCCTCCCGTTGATGGTGATGGGCGCTGGATGTTGCTGCTGCTGTTGTTGTTGTTGGCTGGTCATTTTCACAACCTCCGTCTTGTCTACGTTCACCTGAAGTCCTGTCTTTGCTGCTTCTTTGACAAGTTTGTCGGTTTTCGCTTGTGTGTGACATCAAACATAAATCATCCACGCGCGAAATCCAGAACCCAAGGGAACAATAATAATAATACATAGGAGGAGTTAAGCCATCGCACCAGAGTTACGTAATAAGATAAAAAGTTTAATGAATGAGTTGTATTCAAGATGCACATTGAGACGAAAAGAAAGGTGGTATGACGTAAGAGTTCGAAAGTAATACAAGAGTTGAAAACAAAACAAAACAAACATAAACCAAGTTGGTTGAAAATAAAAACAAGGTTTCTAAGAATTAATTTGTAGCGATTTAATGTGTATCTAGTTAGATAGAAGTGACAGAAGTCATATAATTCATGGGGTATTTGATACTGCACCAAGTGTCTGAACAGTCAATGAGCTTTGTCTCACCACCTGAAGGTCCTTGGTTCGATCCCGTGTGAGATTGTGGGTGCGTACAGCTGAAGACTTTCACACTAGGACGGAAGGAGAAGACATCAGAGGCGTGACTAGCTGTTCTTGACCATAGGTGTCTGCATTGTTACCTGTGTTAGGTGGTAGGTGCAATAGGGTGAATAATATTGAGGTGGTTAGGCATCGATGGAGTGCTAGGTAAGGAGGGGAAATCAATAGACGAGGTTGTGAAGTTAGGACACATGTTACACATGCATGCCTAGCCATCACCTTCTTCGACCGACGGGCAATCTTAGCTAATACAGGATCTCCGTCATGTTGGTAAAGAGCCAGTGGTGGTCAAACGAAAACATGGCTTCCTTCGTCAATGAAAATCCACAACAGTTAGTTTAAACCAGCCGTATATAGTGAGGTATAGACTGTTTGACTGGTGGTTGCAGTCCTCGGGATTCTAAGTACCGTTTGTTGGAGACAATTGGTGGTGGTGTGATACAAGCAATCTGTTCCTACGGAATATTATTCTTATATATTCCTACAGTTCAATACTGTATTAGCAAAAGAATACTCTATGTGTATTTGAACATTCTATTTCATGTTGTTTAATGTAAACGACAACAACAACTGGAAGATATGCAAGTGAAAAGCAACAAGTTGGCAGAAGAAGCATCAAAGATAGGACTTCAGGTGAAGATAGAGAAAACACAGGTGATGAAAATTCCTGGGCAACACCACCAACAGCAGCAACAACACCAGACAACAATCAGCATAAATGGAAGGAACCTGAAAGAAACAATCTCCTTTACCACCTACCTACCTGGGAAACATCGTTTCAACTACAGGAAGACGGAACTGACGAGGATATCAAAGCAAGAGTCGGAAAAGCAAGACAAGCTTTCATTACTCTCAAGTCTGTGTGGAGGTCAACAGCACTCAGAATCAAAAATAAGATCCGGATTTTCAACTCCAGTGTGAAGTCAGTCAGTGCTACTATACGGATCAGAGACTTGCACTGCGCGTCATAAAGAGCATCTCAAACAAACTACAGACCTTCATTAACAGTTGTCTTCGCTCAATACCATTCAAGATCAGATGGCCGGCCAGAAAAGATCAGCAACAGGGAGGGATCTCTGGGAGAGACCCAACCCAGCAGGAACCGATTGTGAAACAAATAGGCAGGAAGAAATGGAGGTGGAGTGGCTTGGCCATACTCTGAGGAAACAAACCATCAAGTGACATCACTAGACAAGCCATCGCTCGAGTGGAACCCGAAAGGGCAGCGGCGAGTTGGTCGTCAGTGCAAGGGTGCCTTGGAGGAGGTGATGTGAAGAGGTGATGAAAGCGTGTGGGCAGACTTGGAGCCAGGTGAAGACTCTAGCAGAGAACCGAACGCAATGGAGACGTTTGGCTGAAGCCCTATGTTCCTCTAGGAATTAACAATAATAATAACGTTTGAACATTCTATTTCATGTCGTTTAATGTCAACGAAAATCACACGCTCAGTGATGATTGGTTAAAGAATATAAAACTGTATAGATATATAAATAGAGGTTTGATCACTTATAAGTATACCTCGGCTTTTGTGTCTTGCCTTTTGTTGTTACAGTATAACTCAAAATCGTTCTCATTGGTGCATTCCCATTGGCTCTTTGTGATTTCCCACATCCAAGAAATCCCATTGCCTTTCCACGTTACTATTCTTTCTCCCTGACATTTCTGCTTATTGTCTTTATTTTTTTTTGCTAATCTGTTTTTCGTCTCTTTTACCTTCACTTCTGTGCTCTACGTGGAGTGTGGCGAATTGAACTGTTGAACTTCTGTGCAGAGTTCTATATTGAAACCAGACAGTCAGTTAGTTAGCCAGGACGAAATAGCTGTCCAGTACACCTTGATGATTTTTAGTGGCTCTTTAACTGACATCGTTCGGTGATCAAAGCGGCAAGGCTTTTTACCCCAGAATAGTAGTAGAAGTTTTCTCTTTTTTTTTTCTTTTCCTTCACGTTTCCCAGTGAAACATAGGGCTTCAAGCTGGTGGCTTGAAGTTTCTGTAGCAGTGTTTATTTTACAGGGGTTACTAGCCCCCTGCCCAACCTTTCCTCTTCACCAGCATTATTTCTGGCTTAGCGAGGTAAAGGAGTGCGTCGGCCGGGGATCGAACCCCGGACCATGTGCATGGTCGGCGAGCGTCCTAACCGCTATGCCACCGACGCACTGGGCGTGGTGGCGTGCGCCTGTAATCTAGCTACTTGGAGGCCAGGGTGCGGAATTTCGCGGGACCGGGAGTTCTGGCATATGGGTGCTCATGTTGATCGGGCGTCCACGCTAAGTACGGCGCCGATATGGATGACCTGTCGGAGGGCGGGTTGTCCAGGTCGACTAAGGAGGGGCGCACCGGCCCAGTAATAGAAGTGGTTGAATAATAATCTTCTTATGTATGTGTATGTCCGGTTTTTCTAACTGAATGGCTAAAGAAGCCTCAGCAATGCAAAGGAGACGAACGAGTTTTGTCTTCGGCGGACTGATATTCACTTTGTAGAGATTATTTTAAAAAAGGAGTTTGTTGAAATAAAATGTTCAGTATCGACATGGTGTTCAATTTTCCACAATCCCTCCACAGAGCCAATACGAACTTTCTGCTATCATACGCGTTAGTGTTCTTGTGAACCCTTTTAGACTAGACACCCGTCGAATGATTAAGACTGAAGCTTTCATATTGGCTACTAATGATTGTGAGGATGTGACCCATTGACTTAATTACTTTGTATTCAACCAACAGGCCTCAGTATATGTGTAAAACTTGGGCACTGTGGTAGTAAGTAATTCCATATTAGTTTGTTTATTAGGTATATCACACAGTGAAACAGTATTATTATTTACTGGATGACGAGGTTTCGAACAACATTTATTGTTCATAATCAAATCAATTATAATCACACGACTTTGAAACTTGAGTTTTATAGTTTTCTTTGTTCTCTCCTATTTGTCGTAGAGGTAGTAGAATTTTCCAGATATCTCGGACAGGTGTTGAATCATTCGTGTTACATGTATTTGCATTTGATTCGATAAACAAGGCTTCTGTTATGAATCTCCCCCTCCACCCTGCTGTTACATTAGATTTTAAAACTGTCATTCTATCCCATCCATCCTATTGTATGGTTGTGTGTGACTGCATGTAATGCTATGGCTATGGAGTGCGTCGGCCAGGGATCTAACCCCGGACCATGTGCGTGGTCGGCGAGTGTCCTAACCGCTATGCCACCGACGCACATGACTGAACTATTCTCTAGATTTTCTGTCTTATTTGGTTCAACTAATCTAGATTTTGCTAGGTTTTTATGTTCGGCTAGTCTGACTGACTTCCCCTGTTCTACTAGTTTGACCTATGTATTTGACCTGACAATCATTGCAGAGTATTAGATAAACTAAATTGTTTTGTTTTAAAGGTTTCACAAGATCCTTTAAAACAAAACAATTTAGATTGGTTGACCCAAATAAGATAAAAAATCTAAAGAATAGTTCAGCCATAGCATTACATGCAGTCACACTCAACCATGCAATAGGATGGGATAGGATGACAGTTTTAAAGTCTAATGTCACAGGGTGGAGGGAGAGATTGATAACAGAAGCCTTGTTTATCGAATCAAATGCAAATACATGTAACACGAATGATTCAACACTTGTCCCAGATATCTGGAAAATTCTACTACCCATACGAAAAATAGGAGAGAACAAAGAAAACTATAAAACTCAAGTTTCAAAGTCGTGTGAATATCATTGATATGATTATGAACAATAAGTGAATTGTGTTCGAAATCTTGTAATGCAGTAAATAATAATACTGTTTCACTGTGTGATACATCTAATGAGCAAACTAATATGGAAGCAACAGGCCTCAGGTTCGAATCCTGCTCCACCCATTTCATCCTAGCCAATAGGCTAGTATCCTTAGCGCTCACATAACCCTCTACTGGGTAGCTAATTAACTTAGCACTAATGATTCTCACTCATTCTTTAACTCTGATATTTTGTTTTGTCTATTTAGAGAACGGATTCGTCAACATTATCAAGCTTTATTACATCGTCTGGATGAAGTTGGACGTAATGAAATATTACTACGTCGTAGTCAGTTATACTCTGGTACAGCTGGTGGGAATTCTTTACCTGGTGGTCCAAAAGATGCGGCTGTGCTTAATCGCCGGTTAGAAAAAGTTTTCGAGGTAATTCACACTGCTATGTTCTTGTTCTTTTTTGTTGCTTTTTGCTGAGTAAGAGTAATTCCATATTGCCGAAAATACCCCTAGTGTCACGAAGGAAATAAAAGACAAATTCAGCGAAGAGAAAAATTTCTTTATCGACGAAATCATCTTCAGAGGCTGTTTAACAGTCGTATTTATAATTATCAAAGGTCTATAGTAGTGTATTATTGAGTAATAGGGCGGGGGGTGGGGTAACATAATTGATATAATTACTCAGAAGTGGCTTAAGAAGTAAAAAATGGTAAAAATTGTAAATTATGTGGTACTCAACGGCACAAAGTTAGAAATGTGATAAGATTAAAATTGCTATTGAGTGAGAATGAAGGTAGTTGAGTGCCAATTTAACAGGTGTGAATAGTGTGTGAAAATTTAAAAAAGGAACATATGAGAGTGATAATAGTGAATTAATTATCAACTCACTCCTTTACCCCACTAAACCAGTAATAAGACTGTTAAAGAAAGAAGGTTGGGCGTAGGGCCAGCAACTTCATCCCTTGAAAATAAATACCACTGCTACCGAAACTTCAAAGATTTATCTTGAATCCCTATGTTCCACAGGGAAAGTGAAGGAATTTTATATATATATATATATATATATATATATATATGATAGAGAAGATTTGTAGCTCAGGTGGATGATTTTGATGTGGTTGTGTTCTATAAACTGGATAGTTAATTTGCGAAGCTTTCATCGCCCTACTAGTCTACATCTTCAGAGCGTATACTTCAATTTGAATTGAAGTGAGCTTTAGATTTCTCCACGAGTTTACTAGTCTTCCCTCCTGGTGGGTCACCTTGAACGTGATTGGTTGTTTTGTGTGTTTTCACATCCTCCATGCTTCTTGTATTGGTACTGATTGTTTCTTTGACTTGAACTTTGACTCTTTGTGTGTAAGATTTCCTTCTTATCGATTGGTGAATTTTGTCTATTTCCATGTGTCTATTGATTGATGATTCACTAGAATACTAGGCTTCTAAAAATTCTGTGGCATTCGTGGTGTTTCCTCTGTCAAATATTTGAACGCTGGTTGTCCCAGTGGAATTGATGTCCGTGGTTGTCTGTATGCAGCGATACGAGCGAGGGAGTGGATATCATGTCTTTTGATGATTAGTTTTGTTCATGGTTACGGAAACGGCGTCTTGGACGTCTTAGTCAAGCGAACAACCACAGGGGAATTAGAAACTCAAGTTTATAGAAAATCAAATCACACAATCCAAATACTCAATTACAACAACAACAACAATCCAATAACACACTCAAAAGGAGTTGTATACAAACACTATTCAAGAGGGCCAGGACTCATTGGTGCACTCTCACCTGAAGGAAAATTGAAAGAAGATATCTCATGGACGTCTTCGAAAAGAATGGATATCCACAGAATTTCATCAAAAGATATCTACCCCAAGCCAACCTACCGAATCAAAAGCCTCCCAGGGTAGCACAAAGAAAATCGCCCTACAATACATAAAGGACATCTCAGAAACCACTGCATGACTCTTCAAACCTTTAGGAATTGACGTCGCTGAAAAACCAACAAAATCACTTCACTCATTTCTGCGTCAACCAAAAGACTCAACAACGAAAGAAGATAAAATCAACATCATCTACAAAATAAATTGTAACAACTGCGAAAAACACTACATTGGCCGAAGTGGACGGCCCCTTCGTCTTCGTATCCATGAACATAAACTCACTAGCCGTCAAAAGACATGACATCCACTCCCTCGCTCATATCGCTGCATACAGACAACCACGAACATCAATTCAACTAGAACAACCAGCGTTCAAATATTAGACAAAGGAAACACCAAGGATGTTAGGGAATTTTTAGAAGCCTAGTATTCCAGTGAATCATCAATCAACAGACACATTGACATAGACAAAATTTACCAATCGATAAGAAGGAAATCTCACACACAGAGGGTCAAAGTTCAAGTCAAGGAAACAATCAGTTCCTATACAAGAAGCATGGAGGATGTGAAAACACACACAATACAACCAATCACGTTCAAGGTGACCCACCAGGAGAGATGACTAGTAAACTCGTGGAGAAATCTAGAAGCTCACTTCAATTCAAATTGAAGTATGCGCTGAAGATGTCGCTTAGTAGGGCGATGAAAGCTTCGCAAACTTATTATCCAGCTCAGAGAACACAACCACATCGATATATATATATATATATTCACCGATGTACAGCCTGGTTGGTGACTTCGTCTGAAGCGAAGAAAAGTGTCTTTATTGCAGCTGTTTTGTCGTTTTTCTTATAAATAACCTTTTACACATTTTTATTTTTTTATTGGTTATTCACATCAATAATAAATAAATTACTCAGGATGAAATACTTTATCAATTGGCAAATTCAAATCATAACGATGCCTATCTCACGGACAATATAAATGAAGAGGTTTCAGTTGATCATGGGATTATGAACACAGGCCAGCCGGTGTCATCGGTTATCGACGAGGAATGTATACCACCGCCAGCACCACCTATGGAGGATTCTGTTGATGAAGGTATCCCACTTCCGAACGAAAAAGACGTAGAATTAAGTAAGTCAGATATATATATTGTGGAATGATCTTCAACTGTGTGTGCAACTGTAGCACTCTTATTATTATTATTATTATTATTAATGTTTCCTTGGGTTCCGAGTGGAGCATACGGCTTCAACAACACATCTCCACTTTGTTCTATTTTCTGCTGTCCTCTTCATCTGGGCCCACGATTTCCCGTAATCTCTCATATCCTGCCCACACAATGGCCTGCATTGCGTACTATGTCATTCGACGGTTTCCTCAACGTGTGCCCGATTCATCTCCATTTTCTCCTACATATTTGTTGAGTGATCGGCTCTTGCCTGGTTTGTTCCCAGCCAACCAGAATTTCTTGTTGCTAATTTTTTCTAGCCGGCCATCTGATCTTCGGTAGGTGAGGACCAGCCAGTGAAGTGGGCAGCTGGTGATAAAAGTCTGCAGCTGACTGTTGGGAGTCCTTTTCATGACACTCTGGCCAAATTTCTGACCCATATAAAAGAACTGACTGACCGACTGACTTAAGACTGATTTTGATGTGGTTGTGTTCTCTGAGCTGGATAGTTAATTTGCGAAGCTTTCATTGCCCGCTCTACTAGGCAACATCTTCAGAGTGCATACTTGAATTTGAATTGAAGTGAGATTCTAGATTTCTCCACGAGTTTACTAGTCATCTCTCCTAGTGGGTCACCTTGAACGTGATTGGTTGTTTTTGTGTGTTTTCACACCCTCTAGGCTACTCGTATTGGTACTGATTGTTTCCGTAACTTGAACTTTGACTTCTTATCGGTTGGTAGATTTTGTCTATGTCGATGTGTGTATTGATTTACGATTCACTGGAATACCAGGCAGCCTTCTAAAAATTCTGTTGCATTTTTGGTGTTTCCTTTGTCTAATATTTGAACGTTGGTTGTCTCAATGGAATTGATGTTCGTGGTTGTCTGTATGCAGCGATATGAGTGAGGGAGTGGATGTCATGTCTTTTGAAGGCTAGTTTATGTTCATAGATACGAAGATGAAGGAGACGTCCACTTTGGCCAATGTAGCGTTTTTTGCAGTTGTTACAATTTATTTTGTAGATGATGTTGGTTTCATCTTCTTTCGCTGTTGAGTCTTTTGGTTGACATAGAGCCAGCCAGTTGAATGGTGAAGTGATTTTGTTGGTTTGTGGGTGACGTCTCTAATTTTTTGAAATCCTTTTCGTGACACACTGGTCAAGTTTTTGATCCATACAAAAGAACTGACTGATTGACTGACTGACTTAAAACTGGTTTTGAAAATCTGAATCTTGTTGCTTATACTGATTTAGTGCAGAACATTGCCGTATTTGTTCCAGGGAGATGAAAGCATATCTGATATTTCCCAATTCTGGCTAGTTTTGAAATCTTCATCCGTTCCATTGGCCTGTGGTTGAAACAGTGCTTCCTAGATACGTGAAGGAAATAACCTGGTCCTGGTTGTTGTTACTGTTAGTTGGTCATCCTCATCACCTCCACCTTTTTTGTTTTTATGCACTGACGTCCTCTCGTGAATGCAACTTAAAAATTCCTAATTGAATCATATGAACGAAAAGACGTTCAGCGAAGAGTTACTCCTCTTTTCGGCGATATCAACCCCAAACTGTACTGTATATATATTTATATATATGAGATAACAAATTGCATAGTGTAGAAAGCGTTAATGGGGTAGTAAACTAGGGTAAAATAAGTCGATTGAGTGACGTAATACAATTGACGGGGTTCAGTAGAATTCAGCTGGAGTTTGACGGAAAGTCAAGTTAACAATAGTGGTGGTAAGGGGTAGAAATTCCACTTGAAGGGGGGGTGAGGGAAGAAAATAATGCAACAAAGAAACGTAAAATAATAATTACTTATCCAGTATTAAGATAGATCAGGTCCATTATAGATTCAATGACTAAACAAACTTCTTCTGTTGTATGCAGCGTTCAGGATTTAAAAAATGAGTCACCATTGCTTCTGAGATTTACAGGAGTTTGATTCGTTCCCTTTTAACAAGATTCCCACTTATTCTGTAAAAAACTTTGAAGTTGTTTAATTGAGTTTTAGATTTTCCCTCTCGATTGATTGGAACGAAGTGCTCCACCTCAGGTTGACATGTCTGTCGGCTTCTTGTGCGAATGCTTCGACGATGTCTGGGCATGTAATTAGAATTTTAATTGGTGGATGGTGACTAGTAGTGGAATCCCTGCCAGGAAGCGCATTTCGTCCTATTTGGGACTCGTCATCCGTCTGGATGTACCTGCATTCCGCAGTGAGTCAGTGGTGATGTTCCCACCGAGGCTCGAACGGGAAAATCTAAAATTCGATTAAATGATTAACATGACCCGTTGCACAACAGGTGGCTCTAGTGGTCTAGTGGATAACGCTTTGGCGTTTGAAACTATGGGCACTGAATTCGAACCTCGGTAGGAACATCATCACTGACTCACTGCGGGATGCAGGTACATCCGGATGACGAGTCCCGAATAGGACGAAACACGTATCCTGGATTCCACTGCTAGTCACCCTCCAGCAATTGAACTTTGAAGTTTTTTTGTGGGTTAGCTTAGCTTGGTGTCCAGATTCGATCAGGTGTTTCAGGATAGAGCTGCGGGTAGGGTGAGATAATTCTTCTTCTTTATGAAACCATGAGTGTAAGTGTTCAATGATACGCTTGGATAGCAAACGCTGGGTACGGCTAATATAATGAATGCCTAATTCAAGCGAAATAATGACAAAACGATCAATTCTAGAGACAAGTCTATCCACAGCATCACCACTGTTTTTGCTTAGTTATACTTATTAAGAGAGATGTTATTTATTTTTGTTAATGGATGGCTAGCAGTGGAGTTCAGGATGTGTGTTTCATCCAATTTTACGATGTATCATCTGAGTGTAACTGTGTCTCCTCCCACTCTGTTAGTGATGAGTGGTGTTGTCACTTAGACTGGAACTGCTCAGCCATCGTTTCAAATGCCAAAGAGTTATCCTCCAGGCCATGAGAACCACCTCTTGTGCAACGAATATGAGTTGTAGTATATGTTTGACTTAATTTGTATTTCCAGTTGATAGATTATTCTAGACCGGAATGTTCAATCTCATTCTTTTCCACATATCGGCTCTCTCCCAGTTTGAACTTAAATGAAACCGACTAGCTGACTGACTGGCCTTCAACGGGAAACTTTGCACAGAAGCATGCAGCAGTTCAAATTTAGGAGACTATGCTCATATATTTTTTTTTAATAATCGATTCATTGAGACGAATGAATTAATCCTCAAGTTTATCAGTTTCTTTGTGATAATCAAAGGTGTATTTTAATAGGTTCATTACTCCTTAGTACGTCTGGAGAGGGGGGGGGGCGTTCATTGATGGAGTACTCGTCAACCACTCACCTGGCCCGGGTTCGATTCCTGGATGACGTACCCCTAATCATCGCCTAGTATACCAGATGTAATTAAGCCTGGTAAAGAGGGAAGATTTGTAGTAAGATTGACAAATTCACCCCGTAAATGACATCACCGCCAGTGAAATTTTAGACTTCAAGCTTGAAGTTTGTATGTTCCACTCGAAACGCAAGCGAATAAGAAATGACCACTCCTCATTATTATATATATTATTGTTTCCTTTAGTTCTTAGAGGAACATAGGGGTTCAGCCGTACGTCTCCAATGCGTTTGGCCCACCGCCAACATTTTCACCTGGCTCCACTTCTGCCCACATGCTCTCATCTCCTCTTCATGTGATCTCCTCCATGTCACCCTCACACTGACAACCGACTCGTCGCTTCCCATCCGGGTTTCACCTGCATTTCTTCCTACATATTTGTTGCACAATTATTTCCTACTGGGTTGGTTCCTTCCCAGAGATCCCTTACTATTGTTGATATTTTCTGGCCGGCCATCTGATGTTGAGTATTGAGCGAAAGTCTGTAGTTTGATCAAAGTGTCCTTCGTGACACGGCACAGCGCCAATCTCTGATCCGTATAGTAGCAACGACTTCACATTGGAGTTGGAAATCTGGATCTTATTTTTCATGCTGAGTGCTGTTGACCTCCACACAGACCTGAGAGAAATAAAAGCTTACCTCGCTTTCCTGATGATCCTCGCCTTGATATCCATGTCAGCTTTTTGACCACTGCTTAGACTTGGAATCTTTTCAGTAAATTCAACAAAGATGTTTCAAGTAGACTGAAGATATGTTGTCATATGTTGTACTGTGATTCTTTGTTAATCTCTTGTCACATTTCACCTACTTTACGATTTTCTTTTTTCTCTGTCAAAAAAGATAAAAATGACACTATTACACCAGATGAAGACTATTCAAGCCTGAAAGAGACTTCATTATCAACTACTACTGAACAACAGTCTACACAACCAGTGGATTTAGGACCTGGTGAACGACCTATTCTCCCTGATATTCGTCGTTGTCGTATCCGATCAGGTTCATTGGCGCTTGATACACCGAAATCAATTACCTCGAAATTACGTACACCCTTAGAACATTCATCATTTGAAGAGAAACATACAACTGGTGGTGGTAATGTTACTATGACTACTACTGACGATGAAAGTGTACAATTACGTCAAAGATTATTAGAGTAAGTCTGATTCTATACGCCTGTTGTTCTGTTATTATTCCTAATAACATTGTAATTATTTACAAAAGAATGGATACTGAACAAAGAGTACTCTTTTCGATAAATTCATAATCAGACTTTACAGTTATTTATACATTATAGTGAATGAATGAATTAGTGTTATGAACAACATTAATGGTGCTGTTTAAATAACATCAAATCAATAATATTGATAGATTACAGCTGAAGAGCATCAACATAAAATAAGCTGAATGTCAGAAGAACTCGGGAAGATAATAATACAAATTCATGAGTTTATAGTTTCTACTGATGGCCAGGGCAGTAGTAGGGGCTGGACTTGTTTCTTTTGAACACAGAGCACTGGTTGTTTGAGGCGAATTGCATTAGCCTCTGCTGTTTGGAGGATGCGGTGCTTCAGTGATTTTGGTAATTTGTTAGGCACCCGGTATATTATAGAGAAGGATTCTTCCGCGCTGGCTTTGTGGCCGGCCGGTTTGCACCAGATGGTCTAATATCGAGCTGTTAATAGTTTTAACTACATCTTTACTTAGCCATACTGGGATATGTTCTCGAGTGGGCACGAAAAATCAAGTTCCTAGAGCAACAGCCAATATAACTCGCTCCACCGCAAGAGCAGTTGAATTGGTATATAAAATTTGAAGTGGCTAGTCTAGGTGCTTCATCTTTCAGTCGAGGTAGCACCATCGGTCGTGTAGACAATAAGACGTGTAGTTTGCCACCATCAAAAGTTCTTTGAACTGATTTTCTTAATTTCTTCGTAATTATCTCACTTGGTATATTGCCCTTGAATTGTAGTCGTATATAAGGTGGCTTCTTGTTTACAGACAGTGAGTAGTCCATTTCCGCCGCTTTCTTTGTCATGTGTTTCTTGATATATTTGTCGGGATAGATATTTTCGATCAAAGTATCAATTGCAATGCTTAATTCCTCTTCAATTACTTCTTCAGAGCATATAGCTCTAACTTTTTGGCTAAGGGTCTTCACTAAATTCCTTTTGTAACTGATGGTAACGAAGCTGTGAAAATGTGTGTATATTGTCCTGTCCATTTACATTTTGTTTGGCATATGCCAAACGAGTCTTCTGTATCCTTGCTGAGATTTTGTCAACGATCAACCCGTTGGGGCTGGTTGATGGAACTTCCCAAACAAGTTCAACACGGTCAGCCACCACTTCACTCTTCCCTATCTTTGAGCTAGGAGTCGATTTAGCACATACTAAAATAAATTTTCAGAAGTACAGTCAGTCACGGTGACAACGAGAGACAATTATAACCAAGATATCTATTTGAAACTGGAGAAAGATAACTGGAATCCTGGAGTTTTTTTAGTTTATATTATTGTAATAATAATGAGAGGTGTGTGCGTCGGTGACACAGAGTGCTCACCGACCATGCAAGTGGTCTGGGGTTCGATCCCCGGCCGGCACACTCCTGTAATCCGCTAAGCCAGTAGTCAGACTGATAAAGAGGGAAGGTTGGGCATGCGGCAGGCTAGCAGCCCCATCCTGTAAAAATAATCACCACTGCTACAGAAACTTCAAGCCTGTAACTTGAACCCCTATGTTCCACTGAGAATTTAAAGGAATGAAAAAAAATCAGAGGTGTATTTTAGCGGTTTAATGACGCTTTAAACATTAAATTTTTGAATAGCAAATCAATTGTATACACCCTAGTCTCGTAGAGATATGCCTTATTTACTTTCACCTTAGTGGATCATGGGTTCAATTCCTGCTCTGTCTACTTCAACTTTGACCAGTGAGTAATATCATCATCAGCAGCACACACACATACACACACACACCATAGACATGTTACTCTTAGCCTGGCTTAAGAAACATCTGTTTCGGGGTAACTAAGTCCAGACACACACACACAAACAGAAACATAAGGATCTACACTTGCTATCCTTTGTACTAATTTACAACAAAGAGATTTTCTCTTGTGAATACAATACTGTTTCAATACATATAATGAGATTAGAAGATCTCCCTTTTCTAGATCTTTTATTGTAGGTTAGACTTTCTTATCTCACCTTTGATCGTTTTTTTGTTTGTTTGGTGTATTGTGAATTTAATGCGTTTCTTCTTCTTTGTTTCTCATCGGGTTGAACCCTTTTTGTTGTTGTGTGTTGCTTCCAGTTGACCTTGAAATTATTATTCTCGAAAAATTGTTACTTTCTGGTATGATTAAGCCATTATAGGCGTGCATAAAATAATGAAATAGCAGACGTTTATGTCAATAAGGCGAAATTAAACTGTGGGACCTTCTCCGCCCCACTTAACGGAAAGAACTCATCAGCTAGTTACATTAAAAAGGCGAATTTGGGTGATAAAATGCAGACATCGAGTTAAGATATTGTTAGTGCTAAGTTTGATCACGAATTGATGTCAGTAAGAGAATTAATGCAAACCAGGGAGAAGTATTGCAGAGCTGTTTCGTCCTTGCATTGGGACCTGAAAGAAACAACCTCCTTCACCACCTACCTGGGAAGCATCGTTTCAACTACAAGAGAACGGAACTGACGAGGATATCAAAGCAAGAATCGGAAAAGCAAGACAAGCTTTCACTACTCTCAAGTCTGTGTGGAGGTCAACAGCACTCAGAGTGAAAATGAGAATAAGATCCGGATTTTCAACTCCAATGTGAAGTCAGTCAGTGCTACTCACTATACGGATCAGAGACTTGGCCAGCGCGTCATAAAGAGCATCTCAAACAAACTACATACCTTCATTAACAGTTGTCTTCGCTCAATACTCAAGATCAAATGGCCGGCCAGAAAAGATCAGTAACATGGATCTCTGGCAATGAGCGAACCAACCCAGCAGGAACCGATTGTGAAACAAATAGGCAAGAAGAAATGGAGATGGATTGGCCGGCCGTACTCTGAGTAAACCATCAAGTGACATCACTAGACAAACCATTCGTCGAGTGAAACCCGAACGGGAAGAGGCGAGTTGGTTGTCAGTGCAACGGTGACTTGGAGGAGGTCATGTGAAGACGAGATGAAAGCATGTGGGCAGACATGGAGCCAGGTGAGAACTCTGGCAGAGAACCGAACGCAATGGAGACGCACGGCTAAAGCCCTATGTTCCTCTAGGAATTAAAGGAAACAATAATAATAATAATAGTAATAATAAAGGTAACTTTGCATATATTCCACTTACAAATGACAAATTTGATCAATTGAAGCTTAAATGATTCCTGTTTTGTTTTGTTTTCCCATCCCATCAGAGATGAATTAGAAATGATCGATAGACGCATAAATCGTCTACGATTCAGTTCTGTATGGGAGAGTAGTGATCAAGGCGATCATCAACAAATGGATTCATTGAAGTCTACTGATGAAAGCATAACTGAGACGAATAAATCTAAACGGAATATTATTATTACTACTCCAAGAAATATCTATCCAATTGAAGGTTGTTTAAATCATGAAAAGACATTGGATAGTGTACAGAGTACTTCAGATGCCTCATCAAATTCAGAGAGTAAATTGTCCACTGTACGATGTCGACGACAAGAACAAGAACCACAACAACGACAACCGGCTTTACCTCCATCCTCTTCATTACCAAAATCTACAAATGTAATGAAAATAAATGTAAGTTTTAGTCATATAGTTTACTTTTTTCGATATTAGAATTGTAATGCTTCGTTGGGTCGAAGAAGAGGGCAAAGTTAGACTTTAAGCACCACTAACTGCCAATCAATCAGCGAATGACCTCGAACGCACCAATCACATGAAGGAGGCATTTTTGTCTATGGAATATATATGTTTATGAAAGAAAATGACACAAAAGATGTATAAAAGAGTTACAGAGGATACCTTTCTCTCACACATGATAACAGTAAGTCTCAGTTTTAGGTGGCATACATCAACTTGAGCCACCTCTGGCGCCGTCGCGACGTTAGCCTGGCTGTCAAAGGTCGGGTATACAATGCTTCGGTGCGGGCTGTCTTGCTCTACGCCTGTGAAACCTGGCCTCTCCGAGCTGAGGATGTGCGGCGACTCTGTGTGTTCGATCATCGCTGTCTCCGCAGGATTGTTTGCGTTCGATGGCATCATCGCGTGAGTAATTCTGAGGTTCGGCGGCGTGTGTTTGAACACAGTGGAGATCACCATTCATTGAGTGTCGTCATCTGGAAACACCGGCTCTGGTGGCTTGGACATGTGCTGCGAATGTCATCCCAGAGGCTTCCGTACAGGTCTCTGTTCGGTAGCCCTGGGACGGGATGGAAAGGGTGGAGGGGTGGTCAGCCCATGACGTGGCGTCGTGGGATGAAGGATTTTTGTGCTAGATTAGCATCGGTTGGTGCGTCATGACTCCCTGTTTGGGGTCCGCGAGATAGCTCGAATCGATGGCTCAAAACGTTATCGGATATGACCAAGAATCGTAATCAATGGCGAACGTGTTGCAATTTCCTTCTTTCTTCCCTTCCTGATGATAGCTAACGAATACTGTTTGAACTTGTTAAACATGACTGTTTTCCTTCCAGATGAAGTTCTTTATCCGTTTTCTACTTATATTTTTACTTTTGATTTATGTTGTTTTATTATTATTGTGTGGCGCATCTTTCTTGGTGCCATATTGTATCAATAAAATAAAATAAAATACAGTTTTAGGTGGGAGCATCAACAGAGTATAATTCCATTGTGGGTAAAACGTATTTTGATAAAGTCTCATAGCATTATACAATAATATTTACTGAGCAATAAATTGTACTCGAAACTTCATCAGTATATATTACTATCTAACACTGTGAGACTTTATCAAAATAAATTTTACCCCGCAATGGAATTTTACTCTACCACCACAGTGCACAAGTTCTATCCTTATATCAACAGAGTAATTTAACCACATTCTATGCATTTAATTATTTAGGTCTTCTAACCATAACAATAACCCTAATCTTTCCTGAACCTAACCCTAACGTGAAAATATCCCTAAACTAACTGTAATCTAACTCGAATCAACCCTAATGTCGCCTTTATTAGGCGACTTGTTCTTGGCTTAAAGCGTACCTTAATCTTTCTCAAATCTAATCTGAGACTTGCCAGATATCCCATTTAATAGCATAACCCTTCGATGAGCATATTTTATTGATGATGACAACATTGTTTGCCGGGTTCCACTAACTTGCTCATTAAGCGTTTCATGGTCATTGGTGCGGTCGCATTGCATTTGGTAGTGAGTGGTGCTTAAAATTTAACTTGGCGGAGATGAGTTCGAAAAAAGGTGGTCAAACCAAAACAAGACATCAATGTAATGTAAATTTTTGACATTTGGTTTTTAACTAGTTAGTTAGGGAGAGTGCCAACTAGCACGAAACCTAGGTCATTCAAGGCTTCTTGCCGATTCCCTCCAACCCACCTAATATCAAAAATTCAAAGTGCACCGTGATGGCGAGCCACCTAGCATCATCCTGATGGCCACATTACGAACCTGATTGATAGAATTCAGTCTGCGCCAAATAATGGACTAGACAAAGATGAGTGAGGATTAGAGAGGTTTCGCGTGCATTTCGGATTGTGAGGGCGATTGTTACTTCCCGGCTGCCCGCACCGTGGAAGTTGGTTGCGTGACCGCAGAGCCCAGTGGACAACTGCTTGAGGCCGGTCACACACGGCCTGTTTTTGTTTGTTCTTTTTTATTTGGTGTGTCTCAGTAGCATATTTATCATTTCTGCCCTGTGACACGGCAGCAGGAAGCGCGGTCGTTGTTAATCCGGCATGATATTTTGTGATTTTGTTTGAGTCATAGCATTGGATTAGGTTACTGCTTTTTGTCTAACCGCTATCCAAACAACCTTTCTAGCATGGTAGGACCTCAAGCGACATAAGTCTCAGTCAGTATAGCTTGTTGGGTCATTGCGGTGTTCAAGCCCGACCACCACGTCAAGGTAGCAGCCTAACCATCGCCTCCCCCGACGGGTATTACTAGCTGATATAGGTCCAGGTTGGAAAAGAGTAAGTGGTGGCCAAACAAAAACATGGCCTCATTAATCCATGAAATCCTTGACAGTTAAGCTGAGTCAGGTAGTAGGGAGATGCAGAATTCCGGGTTGGGGCCCTCGGGACTCTAAGAATCAATGGCTGGAAACTATAGGTGGTGACATGGCTCAAAATCGTTGTCAATGGCTTACGCAGATATATTCAGTCTCTGTAATCTTTCCTATTCCTTTCTACCATTACTCATTCTGTTTCACTCTTATACTTGTCAAAACTCTATTGATTCTCTTCGTTGATCTTCTTGTCTATCTTTATGTGATATTTGGAACGTGGCAAGTCGAACTGCTGCACTTCGGTTCCAAGTTCTATGTTGAATCCAGACAGAGACAGAGATGGACCAGACACATCATATTAGTTACCGACTAGTGTCCAATTAGAGGTGTGAACTGCTTGATTGGTTAAGGTACTAAAAACCATTGGCTTGAGACTGTTTGTAATTGCACTCGAAATTGTTCTCAGGTGTATTCACTCTTCGTCATCTCCCATATCCATTTATTTTATTGATTCTTTCTTGCGTACATTGGTGTTCATCACAGATTTTTTTAAAATGTTACGTGGAGTGAGGTATGTTATACTTTTGTACTTTTATGCAAAGTTCTACGTTGGAAGTTATTCAACTAGTCAATCATATACTATGTGGAGTTGTTATCGTTACCTCTGTGCTAAAGATGGTATAGAGGGGTATCTACCAAAATCAGTCCTCAGTGCGAATTTCTTTGAATTGTAGCATTTTGAAATAATAGAGACGATTTTAGCTCAGGTGGATGATTTGCAATTAATAGTGTCCTCTGAGCTGGTTGGTTTGGTTGCGGAGCTTTCGTCGTCCTTCTGGACAACATCCCATTTCAGCGCCATATTTAGCACAAAGTGAAATGATTTAAATTTCTTCATGAGTGATGATACAATTGCGTCTCCCGGTAACCATCTTTACATATGTGTATTGACCATTTCCTATTGACTTGGATTTTAAACTTTCTCGTCATGTAATGATTTACTTTTTATTAGTTGGTATATTTGGTCTATATTAACGTGTTTGTTAATTGCATTTTCGTTTGAGTACCAGGCTTCTAGGAATTCCCTGACTACGCTTTTGGTGTTTCCTCTGTCTAACATTTTGACATTATCCCAATCAAACTGATTTCCATAATTGTCTATATGTATTGCTATGAAGGAATACATATCATGTCTTTTCACGGCTGATTTGTGTTCCTGGATTCCGAAAGATCCAACAGAAAAAGGAGATAAAATTAACACTATTTACAAAATAAATTGTATGAACTGTAACAGGCATTACATCGGCCAAAGTGGTGGTCCCCTTCGAATCAGAATCCAGGAACACAAATCAGCCGTGAAAAGACATGATATGTATTCCTTCATAGCAATACATATAGACAATTATGGAAATCAGTTTGATTGGGATAATGTCAAAATGTTAGACAGAGGAAACACCAAAAGCGTAGTCAGGGAATTCCTAGAAGCCTGGTACTCAAACGAAAATGCAATTAACAAACACGTTAATATAGACCAAATATACCAACTAATAAAAAGTAAATCATTACATGACGAGAAAGTTTAAAATCCAAGTCAATAGGAAATGGTCAATACACATATGTAAAGATGGTTACCGGGAGACGCAATTGTATCATCACTCATGAAGAAATTTAAATCATTTCACTTTATGCTAAAAATTGAGCTGAAAGGGGATGTTGTCCAGAAGGACGACGAAAGCTCCGCAACCAAACCAACCAGCTCAGAGGACACTATTAATTGCAAATTGTAGGATTCTTATTTGAAGTCTGTATTCACTTTCTCATATACAGAATTTAAGTAATTACACCAAAGTATTAAGCGAGGTGCAGAATATACTTTTGTTAAGCGTTTGGAGGGAAACTAGACGAAGCTCTTCACCTACATTTCGTGTTTGTTTAGCACTTATCAGGAATACGTGTACCCAAAAACCTTGAAGATACTAATGTCACCAACCGCCCCGCTCCCTGAGATTCGAATCTGTATCACTCAGAGACGTTAGTTACCACTGAGCTAGCTCGCTATTGGGGCTCGCTATTTATCTTCTCTAGGACTGACTGTATTGGCTACTTTTGAGTGGACAGTAGTCAGTAACTAGTGGAATGTGTCTAGTCCTTGGTATGTTGATGCAGATTGAATTCTATCCTTAGATTGAAAAGAACAAGAAGTTCAGCAGCAAAGATACCTGTCTTTTCGGCGATTTCATTCTCCCCGACCGAAAGCTGCTACCTTGAAGTGGTGGTCGGGCTTGAACACTGCAATGACCCAACAAGCTATACTGGCTGGAACTTATGTTCCTGCAGGTCCTACCATGCCAGAAAGGTTGTTTGGATAGCAGTTAGACTAAAAGCAGTTACCCAATCCAATCCTATGATTTCAAATAAATCACAAAATATCATGCCGGATCGGTCGGGGCCCGGATTAACAACGACCGCGCTTTCTGCTGCCGTGTCACAGGGCAGAAGTGATAAATATGTTACTGAGACACACCAAATAAAAAAGAACAAACAAAAACAGGCCGTGTGTGACCGGCCTCAAGCAGTTGTCCCCTAGGCTCTGCGGTC